AAAAGGGGGGGGGGGGGGGGGGACATCTGTAATACTGTAAAAAAAATGCAACATCTGTGAAATACAACATCTATAAAGTGAAACTCAATAAAGCAAGGTATGCCTGTAAAAAAAATAAAATAAAATGGTAGGCACAGGAATGCCTCCTGTGTCACTCATATGCCCCTGTCCCCATAAACCCACTCTTATAAAAGAGCCTGAGCCTCCTAGGGTTTCACAGATCAGCATCCCCATATTGAAGAGTCAAGCAATAATTTTTCTTTTTAATGAACAAATGGTTACATGAAGCAACTATTAATTCATATTCATCAACTTCTTATCCTGAGAAATGTCATTGTAATTTAGGTTTGAAATAAAAAGATTTCTCAACTTTGTGAAGATGAGACAATATTGAAAACAAAATTTAAGTTTGTGGTATAATATGTAATAACTACTTAATAATTTGAAATTAAGAAAAATGATTTCCCAACTAATGTAATAACCAGTTATCTTAAAATTCTTAAAGGCTTCTGTGTGTCAATTATTGTGCCCAACTTTGGAAAATGTTTTCTCATTTTATCCTTAAAACAAGTTTTCAAGAATACCAGGAAAATGAGGTATTACTGAGCCCAAATTCAAATCTTCAAATGCAATAAAGAAATTTGCTTTTATGATTTTTTATAAGAAATTGTATTATAAGAAAACAGACTAATTCTGTGCCATTGCTTTGATGTAAATCAACAGAGAATCATAGAGTTTTAGAATCACTTGTTGGGAAGGAACCTTGGGAAGGGTAAATCAAGTCCAATAACTCATTTAAATGTATCCTAATGGGGTAAAAGTCTACAAAGACCTCCTCCAAAAGTAGAACTTTGATTTAAAGAACATATACATTACCACTAATGGTGTTATTTTGTTTTTTTTCTCTTCCTTCATTATACTTTGAAAGATCAACATTATTATTATTATTACTAGAGGCCCGGTGCATGAAATTCGTGCAGGAGGGGGGGAGGAAGTTCTTCAGCCTGACCTGCACCCTCTCCAATCTGGAAGCCCTCAGGGGATGTCCTACTGATGGCTTAGGCCCACTCCCCGTGGTTCTCTGCTCTTTGTGGACCTGCCTGCTCCACACCACCACAGGCCCTGGTGTCTGCTCTCTGCAGGGGCCTGCTTGCCCCTCACTGCCATGGCCAGGGGCAAGAAGGGCCCTGCTGTCTGCTCGCTGCAGGGGCCCTGCTGTCTGCTCTCTGTGGGAGCCTGCTTGCCCCTTGGTGCCACGGTGAGGGGCAAGCAGCGCCCTGCTGTCTGCTCGCCGCGGGGGACTACTTGCCCACCGCCGCTGTGGCGAGGGGCAAACAGGGTCCTGCTGTCTGCTTGCCGCGGGGGACTGGGGCACTGCTTACCCCTCGCCCCCACGGCGAGGGCTTAAAGGACTGGGGGACTCCGGTGGTGCTGAGAGGACTGGGCGCCGCCATCTTGTGGCTATGGGCGCCTCCATCTTTGTGGCAAAGTGATGGTCAATTTGCATGTTCTGTCTTTATTAGATAAGATTATTATTATTATTGCCCCCTAAAAATAGGTATAGGTAAGACTTGAAGACAAAAAAAATGTTAGGTTACTAAACCTGCTTATCTTTGTGAAGAAAAGAGCTAATGATTGTTTTATGATTTTAATCATGGCCTGGGGAAAATTACGTGGGGATAAGTTTAACTTGGGGATCTCTAGGTGTGTCTCCAAACAATTTAGGAAAATGCACTGCAAACTCATTATAAACATTTTAGTTATGGAGCTTCTTTACAGTCAATCTACTAGAAAATGCTCTAGCAAATCAATCATCTAAACAGTGGTGTGATTAGGAGGGTAGAATATAGAATTGAATTTCTAACACTGGAGCAACCTGGGAAAAATAAAAATACAGTATTAGTTTCCTATTAGTTTACTGCTGTTACAGCAATGTTAGTTTCCTGTTGCTGCTACAACAAATTGCCAACACAATCTTGGTGGCTTAAAGCAGTGATGGCGAACCTATGACATGTGTGTCAGAGGTGACACACGAACTCATTTTTTTGGTTGATTTTTCTTTGTTAAATGGCATTTAAATATATAAAATAAATATCAAAAATATAAGTCTTTGTTTTACTATGGTTGCAAATATCAAAAAATTTCTATATGTGACACGGCACCAGAGTTAAGTTAGGGTTTTTCAAAATGCTGACACGCCGAGCTCAAAAGGTTCGCCATCACTGGCTTAAAACAACACACATTCATTTTCTTAGCGTTCTGAAGTCAGGAATTCCAAATCAGTTTCTCTGGGCCAGTGGTCGGCAAACCACAGCTCGAGAGCCACACGCGGCTCTTTGGCCCCTTGAGTGTGGCTCTTCCACAAAATACCACGTGCGGGCGCGCACATACAGTGCGATTGAAACTTCTTGGCCCATGCGCAGAAGTCGGTTTTTGGCCTGGGCAAGTCTATTTTGAAGAAGTGGAGTTAGAAGAAGTGGGGGGTGTCGGTCGGTAGGGCCGTGGGATGCGGGATACGCAGCACGGGGGAGGCGCGCGCGAGTTGAGGATGGGAGAGTTGGAAGGGGTCAACCTCAGTGAATGTACCTCAATCAGATTGAGGACGTTTTTAGCAAAGGCCAGTTTAGGAGTATCCTAATTAAGTTAATAACAATGTACCTACCTATATAGTTTAAGTTTAAAAAATTTGGCTCTCAAAAGAAATTTCAATCGTTGTACTGTTGATATTTGGCTCTGTTGACTAATGAGTTGCTGACCACTGCTCTGGGCTAAAGTCAAGGCATCAGCATGGCTGTGCTCCCCCTGGAGGTTCTAGGGAGAAATCCACTTCTAGAGACCACACATTCCTTGCATCCTGGCCTCTTTCCTTCATCCTCAAAGTCAGAAACAGCAGATAGATAGAGTTTTGATCACATTACATTGCTTTCACCTCCTTCCTCTTCCATGTGTAAAGACCTTAAGTTTACATTATGACTATCTGGATAATCCAGGATAACTTCCCTATTGTAAGGTCATCTGATTAGCAAAGTTAATTCCATTTGCAAGTTTAATTCCCTTTGTAATTTTCCAAGTAATCTTACATATTCAAAGGTTCCTAGAATTAGGATGTGTTTTTTTTGGGGGGGGGGGGGGGCGGACAACATTATTCTGCTTACCACAAAAGTTTTTAGGTAATGCATTAGTTTTCCAGGACTGCTATAACAAAGTACCACAAATAGGGTGGCATAAACAATAGGAATTTATTGTCTCATGGTTCAGGAGGCCAAAAGTCCAAAATCAAGGTGTCTGCAGGGTTGGTTCCTTATAAGGACTATGAGGGAAGGCTCTAGGTCAGGCCTCTATCTTTGGCTTTTAGATGGCCATCCTCCATTTATCTCTTCACATTGTCTTCCTTCTATAAAGATAGCAATCATATTGGATTAGGGACCGTCTTATTGACCTCATTTTAACTTGGTTCCCTGTGCAAAGACCCTATCTCAAAATAAAGTCACATTTCGAGGTACTGGGAGTTAGACTTCAACACATAAATTCTTAGGGTACATAATTCATCCCATAGCTGGCAATTGAAAGGGCGAGGGCTACACCCTCTATCTTGCTCCAGGGTAAGGGCTAGGCCCTCCATCTTGCCCCAGGGTAAGGGCTACGCCCTCCATCTTGCCCCAGGGTAAGGGCTATGCCCTCCATCTTGCTCCAGGGTAAGTGCTCCATCTTACCTTGGCCATGTGCTTGGCAAGGAGCTTCTTCCCGGAAGTCTAAGCCTCTGCTAGCCACACCCAGGAACAAGACACCGACTTGCGCCTGGCCAATCGGCAAGGCCACAGCCCTTTCTCCTCCCCTTACTCCAACCCCCTATAAAACCCCTCTCCACACAGAGTTCTCTCTCTCTCTGCTTCCTGTCGCTGCGTCGGCAAGGTGGGGGAGCCGAGCTAGCTCGAATAAAGACTCTTATGCTTTTGCATCGGACTGGCTGGCTCCCTGATGTGGTTTCTTGGGGATCCTGAAATCTGGGCATAACAGCAATATTTTTAAAACCTTGCCCAAGAATTTTACAAAGTTCTTAACCATATTATACATAGGAGCTGAGATTTTAAGGAAGGAATATTTTATATTCTAACCAGATTTACTTAAGTAATGAAGGAGAGAAAGTATTCTTATACTCTTAATACTTCCCTTCAGCCAACATAAAACATACTTTCTATTCATCTGTCCCTATAACTTAATTAAAGAAATAAAAATACATGGAGCTATAAAGTCAAATTAAAATATCACTGTTTTAGAGTATTTGCAAAGAATTAGCAATAAAAACCTAGATGACAAATTTACTTGTTATAATTACTCAAATATATCAATTCTAAAATTTAATAGAAATGCTGTCTACATAGGTAAGAGCCTTAAATCAGTTCTGAAATGTTAATTGTTCTCATTAGCAATGTTTCCCTGAAAAAAAAAAATGGTAGTGTTTATGCCCTTACATAATACATTAGCATCTGCTTTAGTTCTCTTTTCCAGCCCCTAAAAAAAAAAGAGAATTGTATTAAACTCTTTCCCCCTTTCTGAGAATCAATTAGTCTCTGTCAATGGAGGGCCTCTGCTATGCATAGTCAAGTACTATGTTTATGAACTTGAAAAAATTGTAAAAGAACAACAAAGCATGTTTCCTGCCCTGGAAAATCAGTCAAAGTTGTGCCATAATTTGTAGAGACTGAAAAGAATATATGGTTCTTCACATCATCACAGTACAGTGCCCTAATATCTGTAAAGAAAAAGAGAAAGGGGCCATACAAAATGTGGCAAGCACAACTGAAGTATGATTAAAATAGAAATGAGCTTTTTTGTTTGTAAGAGTGAATATTGTAACATTTTCATTAAAACATAAGTATATGAGTCAAATCTCGTTCATATATCTACTTTTCCCTTATTAAATTATGTCTGCTCCATGATGCCTATGGGAGGAAAAGATACTATGGTAATGCCTGCAATCTTGGTTTTTGCGAATGTGTGAAAATCCAACACATAGCCTCTCTGACAATTTTTAGTTTTAACAAAAATGTTTTCCTCATTAGCTGGTACAGGTGAATCTTAGTCCGGTAGTGTGAAAGTCAGACCTTCAAGCAGAGACGTGCAACTAACTTCCAAAACCTAGGTTACCTAATCTAGAACAACTCTTAATTGTGAGGAAAGCTAAGAGAAATTATAAATCAGAAATGTTCAAGTTTAATTTTATTAACATCCTGAAATAGGGCATCATGGGTGAAAATCAGTATGAATAAAATGCACTTGCCTGGAGTTGGAGTCAAGTACAACCTCTACATAACAAATAGATTCCAACTTCTCACAATAGGTAATGTAACATTCATGTGCCCTACACTCATGTTAACATGCCTCAACATGTAACGAAGTCAGACATCGCTGTTATAAGACAATACCATTAGCTAATATGGCTGTAGGAAGAAGCCTTACTAAAATGAACTTATAGTTTCAAGGGAGAAATAACTTGTTTTCATGCCCTTGACTTGGCAGGATAAAAATGACTTATTTTTTTCAGAAAGGATTCTTTGATTCTGGTTATTGGCATTTCGTTGGCCACTCTTACCAGATGTTTAACAATTACATTTATAAGCTTGACAAGAGGCTTTTAGAAACGGGCTGAGAGTCTATGATTGAGAAATTTACTTCATTTTTCTCACCTCTGTTTTCTCTTCATAAAAGGATATTTGTCCTTGTGAATAACTTCCTTACCTGTGGTAGAGCCCTAGGGAGTCTGCAGTCACTGTTTCCTAGCTGGCCTTGTTAAGACAGTGGGACCCGAGTGTCAGGCAATGTTCAGACCAGCCAGGGCCTCATTGTCACCTCTTTTCACTGCTGCTTGACTGTGTCTATAAATAAAGGGCAACAGTAATTACTTCTCAAAAGGTAGGTGCTTGGCAGGCATTTTTCAGTGATAATGAAAGGACGTTAAATTAATAAAGATATACCTCGAGAAAAACAGACTCGGATTTGAAAGGGCAAAGGAAAGTGTATTTTAAAGGAAATCAATCTCTCTCTCTCTCTCTCTCTCTCTCTCTCTCTCTCCCTCTCTCCTCCCAGTCAGGATTTAATAGTTCCTTCTCATGTTTTCTAAAGAGGAAACAAACCCCACATCATTCTTTTTTATAAAACACTGCCCGATCTATAACCACAAATAATCAGTAAGACAAATTATTTTATGTATGCTCCGGTCTACAATGCATAATCTTCTATGGTTGTTTGAGATAAACAATAAAGAGAAACAGCCTATCACCTGGGGACATAATCATAATCTTGGGGGAATTTAACAAGGATGGGTCCAAGAGCCTCCCCCACCCCTCGGTGGGCTGAGCAGTGGAGACTGTGCCGTTCTTGTGAATCCTGTGGAGACCGCAAGGGTCCTTCTTGTGAGGACTCAAGGAGCATGGCTTCCCTTCCTCCTCAGCAGACAGTTGAGTTCACGAATGAAACAATATGAGGCTGTTTCTCCAAATTGTTTGTGCTTGTAAATATAAACCACCACAAGCTAACTCCAGGAGTACAAAAGGGTTTAAGAGGGCCTGAATGAACATAGCCAGCAAAGTGGCAACAATTGATCATCTCATACTTTCTCACTGAATGGGCAGGGACGCATATTGTTTATCATCTGTAATTATTTTTTTTTATGTTGCATTCCCCCCTCAAAGCCGTTCATAAGTTTTGTTCATCAGTTTATTTGGTTCATTAGATTCCATATATGAGTAAGATCATGTGATACTTGTCTTTCTCTGGCTTATTTCGCTTTATTAACAGATGTCAATATGATCCACTTTTTCTAGAGTTCATTTGCTAGTTTTCTCTTCAGAAAAGTTAACTTGATATTAATGCTACATCCTTCCAGCTGTAGTTTATCGACTTCCTTTGGACTTTGGCCTCAGTAGAGAACAGTTATAGATATATTAAAGTTTCTAAAGGGACAAATAATGAAATAGTTTACAACACTGGCTATTAGTATTATTGCTAATGCATTTATAATTAGTGTGATAAAATCCTTAGAAATGTTTCCCATTAGTAACTAGAGTATAATTTGTTTTACCTACCATTGATCGTTTGTCAGTTGTATGTATTTTAAACATAATATTTTTAAATATGTTTGTGACAAACACGCTCTTGTATCACATTCTATGCTTAGAGGAAAGTGCAGGCTACCCTTTTTCTCAATCTTCTCTGTGGAGTGCTCTGTGGCCCTGGGAAAGCATTTGGAGGGTTCTTTTGGTCTGGGAAGGTATCCTGTCTTGTGTAAAGGATGATGTTCAGAAAAGGAAACGTCATCCAGCATCAGTTGTGCAAGGACACATTATGTGTACTGTACATTTGCAATACAGCCCAAAGAATAGAAAGAGATGCTAAAAGAAATTAAATCTTAATTATATTATTTTCATCAGTGCTTGAAAGTTTAGAATAGGTCCTCAGTGCCCAGTTTTGGAGGCAATTTTCTTTATTGTGGATGAATTACCATCTTATTTTTTGTTTTGCTTGAAATTTTAGTAGAATAAGTAGAGTAATTTAAGAATGTGCTTTTGAGAATATAAAGCTAAAAATTATACCATGGAAATATTTCTTTTGGTTACATCAAATAATTTACTATTAAATGAAGGAAACTTCTTCCCCCCAAAATATCCACAGCAGTAGCCAAATAATTATTAACCACATCAATAAAAATAAAATAATAGAGAGCAAAGAAAAACATTTAAAATAAACTCTATATATTCTAATTTTGTAATTCTTTTCTGTGTAATGCATTCATTATTACATTAAGAGGCACTGTATCTTAAGTTACATTGTTTCTCTCATATTAATCATTTCTGCATGATTTTTTCAAACATTTATCCACCTCTTTTTTTTCTTAAGAGACTTGAAGAAACACATTGCTTCCAAAAGTATGGTTCCTCTGGTCTTTACAATAGAAGCTTAGCTCCCACACTTAGTCGCCAGGTTTACATAATAAACTTGTTACCTCTTTTTGAAGGTGAATGTCTTCAATTTTTAGAAGCTGTTCTTATTTTCTACAATAAAAATATGTTAGTTTTCTTACTTAATAAACCACACTTACCATTTTCCAATATTGTTAATATTTCAGATTGTACTTCAATGATAATCAATATGGATATGGAATTTTTGGACTGGAACCCGGATTCTTTGTCTGCAGGAGTCAAAGAATGAATCCACGAACAGAAGGTGGGATAGCAAAGGTGGAAATTTATTGAAGAACAAGTGCAGACTCCCATGTGGGGAGGAGGAAAGGGTCCCACTGAGTTGCTTTTCCCTATAAAGCTTATAAAAGCTACAGATCCTTGTGCTTTAATATCCCCTCTAATTGGTCACTATTCCCTTAGACTGGTTACTATAGTAACTCCTGAGCTCAAAGGTCAAACCTCACATGAGACATGTGAGGAACCCCCCTCTCCCCCATCCTTCCTTATTGTTTTCCTATTCCCTTTGGGCTTTCTTCTTCTCCTTCTGGATGAAGGGCTTCCTTCCCTCTCTCCCTTTTTTTTTTTTTTTGTAAATATAGACCTTTTGCTGTTCCCAGCTCCCTCATTCTATGGAAATGTACCTGTTGCAGCTTTCAGCTCCTCTATTCTATGGAAATATACCTTCTGCTGCTCTGCAGCCCTGTGCTTCTTCCATGGTCCCCTTGATTTCTAAAATTTCCTAAAATGAGTCTTTTTCCATCCCCCCAAATTCCTGTTTCAATATGACTAATATTTGGCGGACAGGAGTCCTGGTGGTAGTGGTTAGGAACCACGTTTTTAATACTCTGCCTAGACCCTCATCAAATCTCTCTTCTACTCTCTGAGATAACCTCAGTTTGGGGTTTTAGCATAATTTAGAGCTTAGTGTGACATTATACATTATACTTAGTATTGAATAAGTCACTATTTTCTCATCAGGAAGGTGTAATGTCTATATTAACCATTCTAATTTGAATTTCCCCTTCTTTCCCCCCATTTTATGTGGTACCCCCATCCCAAGATCATCCCTTTCTGTAAATCAAGATTTTATTACAAAAATAAACTTTTTACTAAAGATACTCCTCTTATCCTCTTCTTCTCCTTAGCACTTCCCCTTCTCTGTTCCACAAATTGATCACATGGTTTATGAAGTCTTTTTTTTTAGGAATTATTTGCAAAAGAATGGAATGTACATGATCATTGTAAGCTAATGTTGTCTGAAAGAACAAAACCTCTGGTTAGTTTTCAGAAACTTAGGTCCGTGGAGGGAGGGTTTATTTTTAAGTTTTGTGACTTTAATTATTTTAAGAAGTCAGTTTTTTGTTTTTGTTTTTAAATGACTGGATGGAATGGTCCCTAGGGTGGTATTAGGAAACCTATGCTGTGGCTTTAGTCCATTAGTGTATTAATCATTGAATTTTTGTCATTTTGACAACCTATAAAATTGAACAAAAATCTTCCATTTTTGTAAGAAATAAATAAAATGATAGATGTGTGGAGGCTGTAGTTTGCCCTCTGGCCACACATTTCTGACAGAATTAAGGAGAGTTGTAGATTTTTTTCAGTTTATTTTGTTACTTGTTGTTAGAATGGAGTGGGGACTTATGAGCGCTTTATATATCAGACTGGAAACTAAAAGCCCATCGAGTCTCAAAGTAAAAGTATTCAAACAACACAACTACTGTTATCCTTTTATAACTACTCTATAATATATATTTCTATAATATGAGTACCTTATGGTAATAATACTAATTCCTCTCTACTGCTCTTGCATCATTGCTGTCATTCATTTTACTTGTACATAATCATACATAACCATATATAAGCATACAGTGTTATTGTTATTTTGAATGTACTCATCTGTTAGATCAATTAAGAATAATAAAAAGGTTTTATTCTGTCTTCTTATTTCTTCTACAATACTCTTTGTAATTTAAATAGGTCCAAGTTTCTGAAGATATCATTTTACTTTTTATCTAAATAATTTTTTAACTTTTTTCTTTTTCTTCTCTTTTTTTTTCTTTTCTTTTCTTTTCTTTTCTTTTCTTTTCTTTTCTTTTTCTTTTTTTTTGCAAGGCAGTCTACAGATAACCGATTCTCTCAATTTATTTGTCTGAGAAACTTTTTTCCTTTTTCACTTATAAATGATAATTTCACAGATACAGAATTCTAAGTTGGTTGGGTTTTCCTATCAACCCTTTAAATATTTCATTTCATTCCCTTCTTGCTTGCCCTGTTTCTGAGGAGAAGTCAAATGTAAATCTCATCTTTATTCTTCTATATGTACGGTATGTCCCCCACTCTGGCTCCTTTCAAGGTTGGTTTGTCTCTGCTGAAATTGCATCAGGTTAGGTTTTGATAAAATAGTTTCTCCTGAGGAAAGGCTTTTTCAAGTAGAACAGAACTCTCTGTCCTATTTTTAAATAGTTTTCCCCCCTTCCTCCTGCCAGAAGCACAAGAGGATTTTCTGTGATCATCACTGTGAGGACCTGATAGGGCTCCTGGAGGTAAAACTCACAAAAGTGTGGAGCTCTCCATGACTGTCCCCCCCCCCCACTAGAGATTCTAATTTTCAAGAGTTCTCTACACTGAGCCCTCAGCAATTTGACAATTACAGTCCAGGGTTTTCAACCCCAGCACTGGTTCCTGCAGACATTTCTGCTCATGGGCTTCTGCTTCAGTAAGTTGTGATTTTCCGTATCCTCCTCTCTTTCTCTCAAGTCTGGAGGTAGCAGTTTGCCTTGTGGTCACACTTTTCTGACAGAACTAAGAAGAACTGTAGATTTTTTTCAGTTTGTTTAGTTTGTTACTTGTTGTTAGAATGGGGTGGGGACTTATGAGCTACTTATATAACTTATATATATCAGACTGGAAACTAAAAGCTCATTGAGTTTTAAATTCAACATCTGTTGTAAGGCAGAGTACCAGCATTTTTACTCCCTGCCCTGCCTAACTTGTTTCAGTTAAAAAGTTGTGTGTCAATTGAAAATATTTTCTCATCTTATTCTAAACAACTTTGTCCACGGACAGCATCATTATTTGGCAAGTCCAGTGCACCTGATTCTGACAGGGACTTTGGAGTGAGTAGAATCGTATCTAATAATAGACAAAGATTGAAATTGACCGTACCTTTGCTACGCCTCCCATTGGCTAATCAGAAAGATATGCAAATTAACCGCCAACAAAGATGGCGGTTAATTTGCATACATAGGCGAGAAGTGGCAGAGCGAAGACTGAAGGCGGCTCTGGCTGGAGCAGCGAGGGCTGTGAAGGCGGCTCCGGCTGGAGCAACACCGGTTTTCTTCTGGCACCCGGGACCCAGACCTATTGCACGAATAGGCCTCTAGTATGTTTCATAATAAAGAAGGCCTGAATATCAACTCCCCACTTAAGAACATGGGAAGGCTAACCTAGTCAGCTCAAGTGATTTTATGCCCTTTAACTCTGCCAAGGCAATCTCAGGACTAGCTTAAGAGGGCATTAAATATATCCTCACACATCAAGTTCTCTATTTAAAATTCTTAACTAAGTTTCAACCACCGTATCATTATTCAGTTACAGCGAGCCCAGTACCATCATTCTGTGAGGGTTGTTTCTAACCTGTTTGAAGTATACTCCTTCCACCTTGATTTTTAGAACTAAGAACAGTGGGGTTAAGGCAACGGAGCCCAATTTCACCGGCAGGAGTCCAGTGTGTAGCATTCCTCTCTTGATATTCTGTTTCTTCACTTCTTCATTTCTGAGACTGTATTGAGAACATCCACATTGCAGTACAAGATTATAACCAGCCTGTCCCCAGATGGTGTCTTTCTCTGTGGCCTTGAAGTCTAAATGTCCCTTAGAAGAATATGAGAATAGGTTTTCTAGCAAACATAAGTAAAATATCCTTTATTGTCGAATTTACATAACTTTATCTGAGAATTTTCCATACTGGCAGGAAGAATAATGCCTGGAATGGGTTCAGACTCTTTGGATCCTGGTCTTATTCCCAAGGGAGGATTTATTCTAAAGAAGTATGTGTGCTTTGGGGGACCCAAGGAGAGAGACAAATGTAACTGGCATTGAAGAAGGAACCAGAATAAGAAATTAAAGAGCTATTCATCAGTGCCTGTATTTTCAAACCTGCGTCATCTCTCTTCCTGGGGCTGCTTTTCTCTGCTTTTCCAGCCGCCCTGCAGAGAGTGCCTGGCAGTTGTTGCCCTCGGAGGGTGATAATTAATCACACCCCTGTCCCCTACGGGTTCGGAACCAATTTTAGCGACGGAGGAATCAGACAGATGAAGATAAAAATATCAGCCTTATTCCTAGTAAGACTGGATAAGAGAATGTAAGTTAAAGTTAAGGCCAAATGGGCTTCCTAATACTTTCTCTCTTGAATTAAATCATCTTAGAGATATGGGTCTCACCCCTGTGCAGGGACAGAGTCTCCCCAGGAAACTTTCACCGTGGAGGTACAGACAAGGCAAGAAGCTATTTGTGTGCGAGCTATTAATTCTACTCAAAGGAAACTAAGGAATGATGAAGGTCAGAGTGTCACTATCTAACCATTCAGATAAATCAATTATGAGTAAGGTGCAGAGGGAGAGAGACTGAAAGTGTTACTCTGGGAAAAGACAACTGTGAGAACAAAGCATGCATTTCTTTTCTTAAAGTAATCATTTGGTCTTATTATTTAAATAGCTGGTGGAAAAAAAAATCATAGTGGCTTAATTTGGGCCAGGTGTCTTCAGTCAGTTTAATCAGTGCAGCCAGGGTAGAGGTCCTGCAGGACAAATTTGGCTGTCAGAAATTCTCCCCATTGAATTTGGGAGCAAGACCCCAAAGAAAACCAAAAGTTAGGAGCTTAGCAGACAACCTTAAAAAACATCTAATCCATGCTTTCACTCGCTACAAATGAGAAAAGTTGTTTTTGGTTTTTTTTTTCAGATAATTGCAACTTATGGAGAAACTACAAGTGCAGTACAAGGAACTCCCAAATCCCTCAAAGGTTTACCTAGTGTCTTAGCTGTTTTGTTATTTTCTCTATAAAATCTGCCTTTCTGCATATTTTTTGAAACTTGAGAGTAATTTGGAGATATCATGCACCTTCATTCATAAATATCTTTAGTGTGTTTTTCCTAAGAAAATGACATTCTCTAACATAACCAGAGTTTAGTTATAGATTTAACAGCAATA